GGAGCAGTGTTCACGCGCCGGCGCGTGAACAGATCTCGCCGGAAAACTTCCACCTCCGAACGGCGCGTGGGGGGTTGTTTTCCGGTGGAAATTCTTGGGGTTCGGTCGCCTGAGCTTCCCGAGCCTCGTGATGGTGTTGTCTTTCGCACAACACCTTCAGAACGAAAGATGACACAAATCAGTCCCAACCGTTGTCGCCGGAATTTGACACGGTGACTTGAAGTTTCTCACCAATGCTCTGATACCATGTGAGAAATATATGGGAAAAATAATATTGAATTGTGTATCTAAATAGTTACATTGAGACCCTATTTATAGACACTACATTGGAATCCTTTTCCAACTAGGATTCCTATTCTTATTCCTATTCCTATTCCTATTCCTATTCTAAGTAGGAAATACTTATTTCTAATCTAACACAGGGACTGCCATGCCATCTCTACTTTGATCTGGAGTTCAACAAGAGAGAGAATGCGGATAAAAATGAAGATGAAATGGTTGACCTTCTTATACAGGTCATCTTTGATGCAGTCAAGGAAAAGTACAGTCTTGAAGGAAACAATGATTGGGTTGTGGAGCTCGATTCCTCCAATGCAGGTAGGATGTTTAATGGACGGTTTTATCTAGTATTTCATCTGTGCGCAGTATGTTGTCGATATGATATGTAGGTATGCATGTTTATATTATTGTTTGTATATATGTATTTTATTAGTGAACAATCAGCCCATTGACTCCCACTGTTGCACAAGTACTTTTCTCACTATAGCCTAGTGTATGGTGTGAAACATGTTCGTTTACTCATTTCTTCGGTAATAAGCCAGAATATCTGGTGTGAAAGCCTAATAAAGTGTGTTTTTTTTTTTAATTCAACTCATATGTTTATGCAAGTGAAATTAGGATTCCACTGTCCAATATGGCAAAGAGAACTTATTTGACTAAAGTGGAACACTGGGATGGGTTGTTCTTTTGGTAATAAGCCAGAATATCTGGTATGAAAACCTAGTAAAGTGTAACTTTTTTTAAAATTCAACTCATATTTATGCAAGTGAAATTAGGATTCCACTGGCCAATATCGCAAAGAGAACTTATTACAGTTATTAGACTAAAGTGGAACACTGAGATGGGTTGTGATGCACCAATGTGTCACTGTAATATTTGTCCACTTGCTTGTCCCTTGCTCTGACTTGCTTTATCACCTGCATCATTATTTGTAACTAATGAATACCTCTGTGAAACAGTAAAGAAAATGAGAGGAACTCAACTTGATTATTCCCCAAGGTTTTTGGGGTTTAAATATCTACATTTACATGTCCTAAAAAGGAAAGAAAATCAATACCTAATTACAATTTAGTGTTTCTTTTAACGAATTATGCTACCTACTATAATTATACATATTCTAGGATATTCACAGAGCTTCCAACATTCCCCTGCAAGCCGGTCTGGACTGTTGGCCCAGGCCCCCAACGGTCAGAAATCTGATTTCTCTTTTTAAAAATTAAAAATAGAAAATAAATGTTACCGTTAAACTAGGCTGGTCTGGTTAACTGATTGTGTGGCTGATTAAACATTACCAGGTTTACCAATTACCCAAATTAACTTGTGCAGGTCTGGTTCTTAGCGTAACCCAGCTCAACCTTGCCCCCTCTACCTAGGCCGGTCCAGTCTGGGCGAAAATCGGTCCTCTAATGTTGTTGGCCTTAACCAAGCTCTGATACCATGTGAAATGGAAGAGAAAATGCAAGGAATTCAACTTGATTACTCCCTCAAGCTATTGGGGTTTAAATAACTACGTTTACATGTCCTAACAAGGGAAGGGAATTATTACCTAATTACAATAGAAGTAAATTAAGCTTTCTACTATAATTACACATGTTCTAGAATATTTACCAAGATTCTAACCTCTGAAATAGGCTTGTAGATGTTCATATTGAAGAATAACTCTCTTCAACACACCTAACTCTTGTGAAACTTGGGACCTCTTTCCTTATTTATTTCCCAACTTGATTTTCTTATGTGGTATTCACAGGAAAATGTTCTCTTTTTGTGGAACAACTTTTCATTAGATCTTATGCTGATTTTCAATATCCCAGGATCTTACTGTTGATGCACTAAAGCAAAATCTGCATTTAGAACAGGAAGCAGTTTTAGCAGATATGATTATTTTGTAGATGAAGTTTCTTTTGGTGGATCAAATGGGGCACACAATTTGGTTAGGAACTGCAGTAACTAATAGTATATGGGAGAACTATCACATGATCTGATGCAGAATACTTCTTTGCTATATCAATAAGATTGTACTACAACTTTTCTACGTTGTAGTAATCAATATTAATGTATAGCTTTGCTGGCAGAAAAATTTTCTCGTCATTTAATAATCCGATTTCCAAAAGCTGCTTTCAAGGACAACTCGCATGCAGGTGCATTTGTTACAGAGGTATCATACACATCGGTTCCTCCCACTTAGGTCCTGTTTAATTTCAATTTATCATTTCGTGCAGGTCATAATATTTAGGTGTTCACTTGTGTCTCACTATTTTTTGATTACTTCTTATGTCTAACAACATGTGCATTGTTCATATTTTTCGGAAGAATACTTCTACAAATGATTGGTCATTTTAATTTGTTTATCTTATTCTCAGTTATCAGTTTTTTTTTTTGATGAAGTGTTCTCAGTTATCAGTTTTGTGCCCTATTGTCAGATATGTTCAAGGATCAGTAGCATAAGTGAACATGATGGAAGATTTAGAAAGCTTTTTGTCTCAAAGGATTCAAGTTCAACTGATATTCCATTTCAGCTGTTTGTGGATAAAGCTGTCTACTCTAGAAATCGCTGCTTTCGCCTAGCCTTGTCATCTAAAGCAGGGAAGAGTTCTGTGCTTCTTCCAAGTGGACGTTTTAAATGTAAGGACATGGTATGTAACTTTTTACTCTGATGGTGTTCATCACTAGGTTGATTATGTTAGTAGGTGACAATTTGTCATCTGCATAAATGTTTGTCAATTAACTAGGTGATTGTGGTAACTTGTACTGTTATATCCTCTCAGATTTTAGCTATCAGAAAGATTTGTGGTAGTAAATGATGATGAGAAAAGATCTGCAGCATTTAAACTTAAATGCAGCTAAAGTTAAACCACATAACTACTAGGATCATATTAACATCTTATTTATTATTGTACTAAAGGTACGTATCATCGTCCCACCTGCTTACTGCTAGAAACATTCAGCTAACTTTTTCTAAAGGTAATCTAACAAAAGTCTTGAATCTGCACCCAAAGGTGTGGCCTAGTGGTCAATGAAGTGGTTGAGAACCATGAGGTCTCAGGTTCAATTCTCATCGTAGAGCCGGAGACAAAAAACACTAGGTGATTCTTCCCATTTGTCCTAGGCTCCTCGCTTTGGTGGACAGAGCTACCTGATACCTGTTGCTGGTGGGAGGTGGCAGGTATCCTATGGAATTAGTCAAGGTGCACGAAAGCTGGCCCGGACACCATGGTCATCCAAAAAAAAAAAGAATACCTGAAAGTCATTGGCAGCTCTTATCAAAAGAAAAAACTGCAAGTCAGTACAGTGGTCCTGGTTTCTTATATACCAGAAATCTCTAGTACTCAAAATAACATTGTAAATGAAAGAAAAACACAAATCAATCAAAGAACATAAAACTTTTTAACATTATGATGTAGTGTAGTGTACTCAAACAGCACCAGATGAATGATTATTCCTTTATATTCCTCCTTTTGTTTGGGGATATCTTCTCCTTCTCTATACTGCATCAGAGTTGGAGGAGAGCAGTATAAAGTTAGACAATGGGTTATTATGTTTTATGAGATACTGGAATGTTGTTACCCTCCTTCCTTCTTTAAAAGTGCTAAATTTTACTCTTGTTTCATTTTATATGGTAATATTTGATAGGATATAGGTTTAAGATGTCGATTTAACATGTGTACTATATTAATGGTAGTGGAAGGAGACACCGCTGTTTAAAATTCGAGTAGTTAAATGAATTTGAATTCTTAAAATTTTGAGCATGTGCTTAAACCTGTTATTTTTACACATAATATATACTTGTTCTAATAGCCAGCAGAAGCTGGCTTCTATAAGTGGTAGTTCATGCTCTGAGAAGAAATAAGACACCAAAAATGATCAAAATGTGCTGTACTCTGCATCTGATGCTCCCTGTAGTTGTACAACAAGCTTATTATTATTAATGGTATAGGTTATCGCTACAAAATATTCTAGATAAGGAAATGGGAAGTATGTCCATGGTTGTTAAAAACCATCCATGAAAACCGTTTAGTATGCTTTACATGTGATATGTGCTTGCAGTTTAACCCCACAGACTTTTCTACTTATAACAGTCTGAGGAAGAAGTCTTTATGGCATCCTTGATTTGCAATATGGATGCTGATTTGGAGAAGCTACTGATCTGCACAGTGGATCTAGATTGTATGAAGGCCCTTCAATTTGATACAGAGGTAGCTCCTCTTCACGTACTATTTTTTGTAGCACTTGGATTTACAAATTTGTCTTTTGTGTTATGGACTTTATTTTAGCCCTTCCTAGGTTTTTATTTTCTTTGAAGCATAAAAATAAGTTCAGTAACTAATAATATGAAGTCTATTTTGACACCAGTTGCAGTAGTCAGATTTAGAGATGTAACTGCTGCTATCATTTAGGGAAAAGCTTCAATTGATTGCACTCTAAAGGGCTCAAAATCATTTTGTATGCAGAGTACCAGGAGTTTCCAACAGCATTCTGCTGTTTCATTGAATTTTGACCTAAATGCTTGTACAAGTGATGATCCTTCAAAAACTTATTTGACGGGAAAATCACCGTTCCCATATCTGGATGTGTTTGTAGAGTCTGTTGCTTCAATTGGAAATATACCAGGTGACACCCACAACTTTCAGCTTCTTTAGAGCAGACAAACATGGATGACTTTTATTTCCTCTTCTCTTCACCCTTTTCTTTTTCGTTCACATGCGTGCCTTGTTGAATAAATTGGACTGTGCTTGCATATGAATAGTTTGCTTCTTTTTATTTTCTGTGTTTTACGTTGTTCGTGTGTATATATTGTAATTACTCGCTGCAATTATCTCCATATATCTTCATAGCAGGAAGTTCAATAAATGCATTAGTATATTACTAATTTAAGTGCCCATTCCTTCATGTTACAGTTTTGCAAGAACACCTTGCAAATTGTGAATGCCTTCCCTCTCTTTCTTGTCTTTTTTTTTAATTAGATAGGAGAGAGAGTGTTCAGGGGGTATTTCCTAGGTCCCCACCATTATTTTGATTGGCTACTGATTTTGACTGTTATCAGAGTACTAGTTGCTTCTCTCTCTTTTCTTTTGTACTTTGATGGGTCATTTGGTTCATGGACAAGTTATAGAAAGATTATAACGTATGAGGATTATTATATGGTGAATTATAACCACTTGATAATTGTATTTTATAGGAAATGCTTGGTTCGTTGTATTTACATTTAGATATGATGTGTAATCATCTAAAACGTGTGTTTGGTTTGAAATTGAAAATGCTGATGCCAATCATACCCTTGTCCTAAATAAAAAGAAAAAATCCAATCTAGTTTTGGATTTTATTAAGATGTGACAAACTATTTTACTGTAACATAATCACATATTTTATGAGATATATAATTTCTTTTACTATTATAGATAATGAACACTTTTAAGAGGAAAACTGAAATGAGGTATAATAGATAAAATAATTCTTTTGTTCTTTTAAACTTGAAATTTATTTTGACCTCTTGTATTATTATTCCATATGAATTTCAGCATAAAATGATGCACTAATTTCAACATGACGAATGCAAGATAATCAATACATGGATTATGGCAGGAACAAAACATTGTCTATAAATGCATAATTTAACACTGAACTATGGAGCATGTTTCACTCAATTTTTGGACTTAGCTGGCTCATGCCATGTAGTGTTAAAGATGCATATGAAAGCTGGAGTGCATGGAGCGTTGGTAAATCCATCAGGTTTATCTGGAGAATGGTATCTGCCTCATTTTTTTTGTCGTATTTGGACAAAAAGGAATCATAGATACTTTAATGGTATTTCAACTCCATTAAAGTTGAAACATGAGGAATTGCCGAACCAACGAAACAGTCCTTCTCCTACAATGGCATACAGAGTTTCGGGCGCTTGACACTTGGACAAATGCCTTCTTGGTTAACCAAACACTACTCCCAAAACATTTAATAACATACAACTCATTGGCCCGTTTTATAAATATTAAATTGTTAATTGTGTGGCTGTTTGGCCCATAATATCCTTTATCATCAAGTCATGAAACATAAACGTAAATGAAAGCTCTTAAAGTCATGTAAATATGAATATAAATAGAATGTTTTAAAAACTCATGGATAACATGAAGACACTTGGGTACCATTATTTCATGTAAGTATGACACATAGAGAGGAAATTCTTGAATCTAAATCATGCTTGAGTCGATACAAGGTTCAATAACATAACGTCATTGAAGTTGAATCGTAGGAGACACTAGACCTGAGTATAGTAGAAGAGTCAGGACAGGGCCTCAATGTATTGTGAAGTGGAGGCCTAGTGGGAAGGTTTGCCATTTTGAATGTCTGAACTTGCATTGTGAAATGTAGCACACTCGGCAAAAGAGATGTCAATATCGTGGAATAGCACTCGTATGATAAGACATAAGATAGGCAATAAAGCTCATGAAGATAGGGACATAAAACATGACATGGTAACATAGGAAAACTAAGAAACATTTATATAGTTCATTATGCATAGTATCTTTTTTAATATTTGAGATGACATCATTATCTTTTTTAGTCTCTGGGATACTATCTGCCGCATACGCGAGACAGAAAGTGTAACTACCGAAGCTCTTTCAACTTGTCCTGTCTTTGGATAAGTATTGCGGGCCTTTGTGCTTAGCACTACAATGATATAGTGGTGGAATACTATCTGCTTGTTCGGGCCTTCGTGCTTAGCACAATCATAATATAATGGTGGAATACTATTTGTCGTATTCAAGCCCTTATGCTTAGCACAATCATAATATAAATTGGTCAAAACATGTATGTAGCCATTCTTGTGGATCACATTACATTAACCTCTGTGGATCAGTTTTTATTCATAGTCATAGCATTATTGAATAGGTATCATTTTGACATTAGATATTTCTATAAGAGAGATGTATGAACTTGACATGGAGGCATGGTAAGTGTATAAAACAATTGTAAGACCAATAACATTATATGAGAGTGAATATTGGGCCTTTAAGGTCCAACATATCCACAAGATGAGTGTTGCAAAAATATAAATGTTAAGGTAAGTGTATGATTAGAAATGAGGACATACAAGTAAAGTTACTGACTGAAGATGAAATGATAGAGGGTCATTTGACGTGGTTTGGTCATGTTTTATGTAGATCTGCAGATACACCGTTCTGTGGTGATATCAGAATGATTGAAGGTGTTAAAAAATGGAGACAAGATAGCTCTAAAATAACATAGAAATTATCACGAAAGACCTACAATAAAAGAAAGTTGACTCCAAAAACCTACAATATCTTAAAATCATTACTAATTTAGTGAATTTGAACACAATGAAAGAAAAAGATTTATATAGGCAGTATCAACTAGTCAGGTTTAAGTCGTTAGTCATGCTGGTGAACTTACATTAGGTCCAACTTCTAAGAGTTTTTTAAATCTTGTTACGTATTTGTATTTCTTTGGAAAATATAGATAACCTGTTAGAGAACCTAAATTTGAATGAAATGGGTTCAGAAGGAGCAATACTGAGAATGAGGATTCATATAGCCGAGACCAACTAGCTTTGGATTGAACGCTAGTAGTTGGTGCTGTGAACTACCTGTGTGCCTTGCTGTGCCATGACTGTCTTCATCATTTTGATGCTTGGATGTCAAAGATAATGTTCTAGTTCCAGTTTTCTACTAGTCAATGCTTAAAAGCTGTAGCAGTCTACATGTGTCTTGAGCATGGAACCGAGTATTACTGCTTACTTTCTTTCCATTAATTTCTTTGCAGGAATAATCCGAAGTTGGTATTGGTTCTCTGAGTATGCATTGATGGTTTACAGCATGTCTAGGAATAGATTCTGTGAAAGAATTGGCAGACAGCATAAAAGCAATCATGGTAATGCATCACCAATATTACTTTTGCAAGGAAAAAACTTTTGGTAGTGGTCACATCTGTTTGATCTCGTGTTCTCCACTCTTTTATTTCTCATCCAAGGTCACCTTCCAGGAAATGTTTCCATTTTCACTATTGGTAACATCAGATATAGTCGTGCTCGGAGTATCTTTTACTGATTAATTTAGATAGATTCTGTGCATTGATATGCTTTTTTTTTAATGTTGTCTCTCGCATATGGTATCAGTTATGTACGTAGTTGATCTGCAAAGAGGTGTTTATTATCAGAAATGCTATGATCCTGATTGCAGAGGTAAATGATGGTCTTGTTTCATTCATCAGTTGAACTTTTTTGGCTAAAGAACAATGACTTGTAGCCTTTAATGATGTTAAAAGGCTATCGATCTCCCTTGCGACCTGTCCCTGATAATGTTATACCTCATTCATCCATTTCCTTCAATCTGCCTGGACATAATATGGACGAGGAGCAGCCAACTGTAACCAGTGACACAAGCATTTTCAGCAGCTGCAAGAAAGAATGGTGGCTTGAAGCCGTAAGAGTTGCAGACAGCATTGAGAATGTACAGAAAACATTGGATCTTACTGAGGTTGTTTATCTTCACTCCAACTTCTTGTGAATATTTTTCAAATATATTTTGTTTTGTTGTTTGTAATAGTAGCTATCCCACACAGGTGACTTTCATCATATGCTTAGATATGTCATGAATCTCAGATCTTGGGGAAAATTGATATGATAGGATCTAAATGCGCGAAACCCAAACTTTAGGTGATACTGAAGCTCAGTAGCTGAGCAATAAAGGGTTATGTGTTTTCTCCCGTTCAGTTTAGTTCCCTTTTACTTCGTTTTGTTTTTGTAAATAGACAATATTGCAGTTTAGTTGTTCGCAGATGGTTAGTTGTTTGCCTGTGTTAGAACAGAAGACAGACTTTTGCAAGTTAACTTGCTAGTGGTAGGATTTATCAACATGGATGCAACTGTTGGATTGGGGGGGTTAAAATGAGTCTCTAGTGGAATAATAGTGATGTATATTGTTTACTGAAACAATAATTTATCTCTTCCTCTCTTACGCGAACTAGATGAATCTAACTAGCTTCTTCATTTTTGTTACTGAAAGCAGGGCGAAACATGTGAAGAAGATGAGTGGTGGATGGCTGTTGAAGAGACTGCATACCAGACCGAGCTATCGTACTTTGGAAAAGCCTAGCCATTTCAGCCCTGGCAAATTGCTCAACTTGTAAACCTAGCCAGGTCCAACTAGTTGGTGTTACTGGTTTTCCCAACCACATCAACAAATTGTGTTTCTCCTGTTAATTGATGACTTCTCAGTTTTGTCTACTATGCTACAAACCAGTGCATGGTGGAGTGCTACATCCCAATTTCCAAGTCTATTTATCTATTTAGCAGTGTTCATGGTTTGGGTAAAAATCGATCCAAATCGACTAAATAAATCAATTTTCTTTTGGTTCGGTTCACATTTTTAAAAATTGACAATCTTTGGTTTGATTTTTGCTTTGTTAAAAAAAACTGAAGAAATATTCAAACCAAACTGACAAATTATATACATATTTTTTTATAATAATATATACAAAAAAGGGTCAATATTGCCTACACCACTCTTATACCTTCTGTTACAGGTATAAAAATTGTCTCCGTAGAGATCACAAATTTCCTTTAAGAGTTAACAACTCAAATTTTTAGTGACTTGGTAAGTCAAGTAGGACTAATCCCTCCACCTAGGCATTGTCGATTGGGATTCACACTAAATTATAGGTCATTAATTCTGATTGATCTGTAAGCGGCGGCCTAGTCCCAACCTGATTGAAAACCTTATTTGCGAACGCGACCACCACCACTAAACTTGAGAAATGATAAAAATTTGAGGGTCTAAATCACTTTTGAACATCTTAGAATCCGTGGAAGGCCACTAGGGGAAGGTTGGAGAACTTTTTAAAAAAAGAAGGAAAGGAGGTGATCTAAGATGGATTTGTATGTATGCTGTTGGATATTTTAATCTCTAGCTAATTAAACAGTAGATGCACGTGAAAGCTAATTAGTTAAAAGAATATGATACTTTTCATTTCGGCTTGATTTAGAGTATGAATGTTAAACTAACTTAAAAAATAGTATTTCCTCTATCTTAATTTATATGACTCATTTTTTTTAGTAATTCTAAAAAAGAATGACACATTTCTATATTTAGTAACAAATTAACTTTTAAATATCAATTTTATCCTTAATAAAATGACTTATAATCACATGACTATTCAATTTAACAATTTCGTTTTTCCTATCTCAAAATGTTATCATTTGTTGGTCGGTTTAGTTTAATCATTGATTTGGCTATTCATTGCCAAACCAAGGAGCAAGTTAGTGACTTGGTCATGATTCCCTTTTTCTTTTTGAGATCCGAGCTAAAACATAATTAAAGGGGAACAATGAAATTTCTCAAAATATTCAATATTTACATTGTCTGATTAAATTTAAATTCATTTCAATTGTCTTGGGGAATAAAGCATCACTAAAAAGGTAAAATTTCAAAAAGATAAAAAGCACAACGATATCAATGAACGGCAGCGGTTCTCACCAAACTCATAAATCATTTAAACACCAAAACATAAATGTACAGCTGCAAACCAAAAACTAAAAAAAAAAAAAACAAAACAAAAGAAAGAAAGAGCAATATATTGCTTTTTTCTTTCTTTATTACGTACAAAAAAAAAGGGAGCAAGTGGATTTTTAGACCCAACATAAATTCAAACAACGTACAAATCATTAATTTAGAATTTAGAAATCACCAGATAGAGGTGCATGTTCATGGTTCATGAACACATTGCTATAGATAAGACCAGCTAACCCACCACCAACAAGTGGTCCAACCCAGTAAATCCAAATACCAGCAAAGTTTCCACTAACCACAGCAGGTCCAAATGAACGGGCTGGGTTCATTGAACCGCCAGAGAACGGGCCTGCAGCTAAAATATTAGCACCAACAATGAAACCGATAGCAATGGGTGCAATGGTACCCAATGCACCGTTCTTCGGGTCAGCTGCTGTGGCGTACACTGTGTACACCAAAGCAAATGTAATGATTATTTCCATCACCACTCCTTCAGCAGCTCCTACTCCAGCAGCCACACCGTGGATTGGAACCGCCTGATATACAAAAGTTAATGAAAAAAATTCATGATTCACCAACTTAAATAATATGCAAAAACTTACCATTCCTCCGGTGACAACTTTGAGGAGGTAAGAAGCAACAATGGCACCCAAAAGTTGAGCAATCCAGTAAAAGAGACCGGTGAGAACGGTAATTTGGCCACCAAGAGCCAATCCGAAAGTGACAGCAGGGTTTACGTGACCACCGGAGATATTAGCAGCAATGGCAACTGCCACGAAGAGCGCGAATCCATGACAAACTGCAACAGCTACAAGCCCAGACGGATCAAGAGCAGCATCAGCTGTCACCTTGTCTGCATTGAATACGGTACAAAATTTTGAAAGATCCAAAATTTATAACTTTTAAATTGAATGACCAAAGTAACACAAGTACAATGTATCATTAACAATAACATTTTTGTAAAAGGTGGACTTTAGGAGCAAACTATACGAATTTAATATCTTCACTTAAAAAGCAACTATACTTAACTATGCCTATAATAAGTGAAATTAGCACTAACTTAATTACATTATATGTTACGACATGCTAAAATATACTGATAATATAATACTATGAGTGCGTAAATTAAGAAGGAAGATTGAGTTTTATTAACTGTAAGCAATAGCTGAACCAACTCCGGCGAAGACAAAGAGTAAAGTAGAGATGAATTCAGCAATGTAGGCCTTAATAGACCCTAAGCTGAATGAATCATCGAATCGTCCAAAAGCTATGCAAGGCATTTTTAAGAAACGTTTATTAAATTTAAAACGCTAAAAAAGCTTATAGGAAAATAAAACACTAAGAAAATGCTAGCTATATGCTTGCTCTCAAATGAAAATATATAGAAGCTCTTTCTTTGCCACATATTTATACTAGGAAATACACAAATATAATATAAAGTTATTTAATAAACATAATTTGTTTTTGTTTTTCACTTCTCTTCACGTAGTTTAGATAAGGGAATAAAGTAAGTGCATATGTGGCAACGCATATCCAATCAATTTTTTTGTTATAAATATTCCAAGCTGGCATTAACATGTTTTTAATGGAAGTGTCTGGAATATAGGCAATAATAATAATATATGCATGTGAAGTGTAGGTCCATTGTGATAGAAAAGTAATGATTGGAAAATGGAGTTGATAGGGGGTAATTTTTTTTTTTTGTCTAGTGTTCGATATCTACATTGGAGTCCGATTAAATTTATATTAACGCTGAAAAATTTCACATTAAGAATAAAACGCTTCCTAACGAAGACAACTTATACCCAAAGAAATTCAAACCTAAGACTTCTAATTAAAAATAAAAATATACTTAACGCTTCATCACAACTTTTATCAGTTATAGGGAAAATTTATTAATGGAAGGTTTGGTCCACAAAGTGCGCCTGACCGACCATGAACAAAGAGAATGCTAGAATTGGGTTGGTTGATCTGGACTTCTGGATTTATTTGAATTGTGTGGATAAGAATTGAGCTGGCCTTAATTAGTCTTCTCTTTATTAGCTTAATTAATGAATTAGAAAATGGGAAAACTATATAATTAGACATACATCCATGTCATATATATATTTTTTCTATATAGTTTTAAATAATTATGTATTTTACTACTAATTAAGAGTTTCCTACAATATATCGAAGAAGATACATGAATTTTTGCTACCAGATAAACTAAAATAGGGAAAGAGGCAAGATAGCTGGGGAGGCGAGCGA